ATATGAATTTTAAAATCATTTTTTGAAAACTTATATAATATATAGTTTTTGAAAATAGTTTTGAAAACTTATAAATAATATATAATTTTTAAAACTCTTTTGAAAATTATATAGTTTTTTTAAAAAAACATTTTTGAAAATTATATAGTTTTAAAAAAACATTTTTGAAAATTTATATATAATATGTAGTTTTTAAAAAAGAAATGTTTTTAAAAAATTATATTATATAGTTTTTTTTTTAAATTATTTTATTTATTATTATTTATTATTGTTATTTATTATTATTTATTACTATTATTTATTATTATTTCTTATTCATTTATTTTTCTGTCCAGGGTCCAAAATAAGGTCCAAGATAACCGGAACTAACAAGCCCAAAAGTCCTATGAAATGGTCCAGTAACCAGATGATGTTTAGGGTTTGAAAACCCTAAAGTCAAGGCACCACATAGTAAGGTCAAGGGTTACGTGAAACGGTCGGACGTCGGCCGAGGATCTCGGGACTTAACCATCCCTGGATTTCAGCAGCAACGCCTTGAGCAAAACAGAACAGGTGACCAACAGAGGGGGGGGAGATCACAACATCATACCAGTACAGTAACCAGAAACGATCAACGGCCAACAGACACAAAAATCCCATCATCACCGAGACATAGAGACAACACAGAGGCATTAACAGTACCCAACATAGGACAGAAAACAAAGCAAATATCAAAAATATAAACCCAAAGGCCATAGCCCCTCAGTAAACAAACCAAAACAAGAACGGGAGAAACATAAAGCTGAGGCTTCAACCGAAAAGCCACCGAAAGGCAAACAGACACCGACGAAAAGGTAAAAACCGAGGACTTTCGGGTTATATCTACAATGATTCGTAAGATTTTTTGATTTTGTGGTTTGGGCTAGTGTTTAGGGTATAAAGAGGAACATTTGAGGTAAGGTTTTTCTCTGGCCACCACCGGCGACAGCGGGCACGGTGGCCGGCGTGACGGAAGGGCCACGGAACGACGGCCAGAAATTGCCTGGAGAGAGGCGAGGAGAGAGATTTTTTTCTCTCATTTTGCAGAGAGAGAGAGTATAGTGTTAAATGGGAAAAGATAGCCATTTTGGTTTAAGGGGAAATGAATATATAGGCTCGGCAAAATGACGACGTTTTATCAAGGGTCTCCTGTGCATTTTCATGCCCGGGTAAACGATGTCAATGGTGTCTATGAGTTGTAAACCTTCCGTTTTTATCACTGAAGTAAAGTTTTTGATATTTCGATTTGGATTTCTAATTTTTTTCTTATTATTTAGTCACTAGTTTATATATATATATATATATATTATAATTATTATTATTATTATTATTATTTATTATTTATTATTATTATTAACATATATATTTTTTCCTTTATTATTACTATTATCATTATATATATTTTATTTTATTTATTTATTTATCTTTATTTTTTCCCTTTCTAGTATTTATTTATTTATTTATTTATTGTATATATATATATATACTTTCTCTATCAAAATTATCCTATTTATCTTCATTTTATTTTCTTTGTCCTATCTTATTTATCTCATTTTTTTATTTTTTTTATTTTCACTACTTTTTTCCCCTTACTAACAAGTGTCCTCATTTCTTAAGGGTACATTTCCAATCGATCAAAGGTAAACAATTCGAACTGAATTTTTAAGTTTCAATTTAAATTTTCAATTTTCGCAATTAAAGACAACCGTTAAATTAATTGGTACCGAAAGGGCGGTTCAAGGGTGCTAATCCTTCCTTGACCGTAACCGACTCCCGAACTCGACACATTTCTGGTAAAACGCAGATCATGTAAGATGGTGTCCGATCCACCTAAATTCGTTTTAAAATGGTCGGTGGTGACTCTAACCCAATTATTCAAGTCGAAGTCCAATTCTGAGGCCCAACCGAAAGATGGTTCCGACATCTATATATATTGGTAAACCATATGAATTTAAGAGTATTCATAACATTTAGGTACATGACTACACATTATGGTGCAACGTTAGACATTTTAGTGTAATTTTAGTTTTAGAAATTTAATAAACATGTTTAAAGAAAAAGATAATAAACAATTGAAAATTTTGTACAATAGCATATGTTGATAGAAAAAAATTTTAATATTAACGTTTGTTACTTTTATACTAGTTAGAAATAGGGGTTCTTAATGAGATGAGCAGTTCGTGAACAAATCGAATTTAACTCAGTTAAAGCTCGATAAAAACTCGACTCGAACTTGAGCTTGACTCTAGACCTTAACAAGTTGAGCCAAGCAAAGTCCAACTCGACTTTATAAGTTCGAAAGTAGCTCGTTAAATTTTTTTATATAATTTTTTGATAGTTATCTTAAAAAAATTATTTCATACACTCAAAATCAAACCTTATTTATTATTTTAATGTATTTGGGGATTGTTACTATGGAGTTTAGACTTTAAAATTACTTCATAAACTCTTTGATAATTTTTTTGGTTAAATTTATTAATTTATGTTTATATTAAGTTCTATATAGTATTAGTAGATTTTATCTATGTTAAGAAAATACGGTAAAAATTGCGATGAGTTTAACGAACAACAAGGTGAGCAATGAGCATCGGGCTTAAGGAGTAACGAGCTTAATGAGTAACGAGTCGAGCAACAAGTTTTTTTAACGAGCACGAGTCAAGCAAAATTTTAATGAACTTAACGAGCAACGAGTCGAGTCGAGCAACAAAATTTTTAACGAGCACAAGTCGAGCACTGTCCAACTCGCGATTGACTCAATCGATAATCACCCCTAGTTAGAAATACTTATAGATTGTTAACGGGTATTGATCGGTCATTTATCGAAATTGACTTACCATTGATCATATACTTATATTTTTAACAAAATACAAAATTGTTATAGACAATGACTTTTAGTAAAAATATCAAAAATATTATTGTAATTATATAGTTTTAAAAAAATTTAGTAAACATTATGGTTTAAATATCTTAAAAATTGTGATATTGTATATATAAAAAAAGTTAGTATTGTACCAAATTATTTACCATCTTTTTAAACTTAAAAATGAATGATCGGAAAGTGTTTAATCAGAATTTTTCCCACATTAGAGATGAGAAAGGGAAATTCAAAATGAATTAATGCAACAATGAGATATAAAGATCACGAGGAACGTAAAGAAGGTGATGGGCAATCCCCATCCCATTTACGTCGGTTCAATGAATGTCTGTATCTAATTATCTATATTTGATGGATAAATTACATGTTTAGTACGTAAACTATCAGTTTTAATCCATTTTAATACCTAAACTTTCTTTTTTTAAAACCATATCTAAAGTTTAGTTTTTATTTCATTTTAGTACACATGTTCAAAAGTTAATGTTAACTTTTGGGGGAAAATTGAAAGATTAGATACTAAAACGGACCAAAATTGATAGTTTAGGTACTAAACGTATTAAGATTTTAATAGTGGGTATTAAAATGAAACAAAAACTAAACATTAGGTATGATTTTGAAAAAATTGAAAGTTTATGTACTAAAATTGACCAAAATTAATAATTTAGGTTCTAAATGCGTACTTTAACCATATTTGATCTATTGATCAATTAATTTGAATTGAATATTATAAAAATTCATTATGAAAAATGACCTAAATATAATTTGTCATATCCACAAAATTATCGTTCAAATTCTTAACCTTACTTATAAAATTTGATACCTCACCTCACTAACCAATTAATTAGAGATGATAATTTTTATTCATTAACTTTTGTCTTATTAAATATGTTACTATGTCTATTTTTTAGTTTACAAGAAAAAACTATAATCAATTTACATGTTGCTTGAATTTTATTTAAAAAATAAAAAATAAAAACTTTAGTAATTATTCGAATAAAAATAGTGTAATTCAGACTAGTTCATTAAGACAGTGATTTAAATTCATTAAGACAGTAATTTAAATTTAATTCTAAAGATAATATAAATTAAGTAATAAAATACATAAAAGTATAACATTCATTATTAAATCCGTAAATTGAATTAGATAAACTCATATATTTTACCTGCATTTTCTATTGAATCTTTATTATATATTCATTATGTATGTATTTGATTTTTATTTACATACTAAATGAAACCGAAACCTAAGTTATGATATATAAGTTCCTATACAAAGGATAAAGTAAATCCTTAGTCACCATAAAAAAAATACAAAAAAAAAAGCACCTAGAAAAATGTCGTATTCGTGATAGACATTGACCTTGTTCCACCCCAATCATATATCATGAAATGCAAGTAACACAACTTAGCATGCAATAACTTCTAAGCCACTCAATATCCAAATAATTAGTGTAGAAGCTAGAGGCAATAAATAACTGATAAGCCACTCCTACATCATGAAATGTGAGGTATAGACAAACTGGAAGATATGCTTTATCATAAAATGGAGGGTAAATTATGAACTTAGCCAACCAACAATTATTTCTGTTTCATTTTGTCCAACCAATTTTTTTTTCTTCAAAATCATCATTAACATTACATTTTAGTTTCATTTTAATAATTCGTCCTTAAAAAATTAACAGTGGTACTAACATATCACCATAAGATAATGTCATATCGTCATTGAAAAAATATAAAAAATGTCACATCAATAATTATATTAATTTTTAACGATGTGTGACCTAAATAAAACTAAAATGTAATATTAGTGATAATTTAAAAAAAGTTAGATAATCAAAACAGAATTAAAGTAATAATTAGGCGACTAAATCTGTAGTTTACCCTAACATGTGATGTTTAATGTCTAGGCCCTCAGCTTGTCAATGATGCTTTGTATCCATTTGAGCTTTCCTAGAACAAGGACCAAAATTTGCAGGCATGTTTCAACAGCAAAATCTTTATTTAAAAGAAGAAAATTGCAGGTTAAAACAAATGAAAAGGAATAATAAGGATACACCATCAATACTGATCCTGAAACAAACTTAATGACAATTGTTACAAACATTTGAATATACATATTTTCACTTTGAAATTTTATTAAATGAGGCAATGGGTGCAATACATGCTTTGCTGCAAAACTAAGAACCTCCAGGAGGATCTTACCCCTACAGCATATAGAAATTATTAATACAGATTCCATATGGCAGTATAGTTCGGATAGTAAATCACCCGAATGAGTTCGTTACACAGATTTAGAGAACTTTTAACCTTGAGATGCCGAATATGCTAAGCCACAACAACTATGATGAAAATAAGGAGGATGATCCCAAAGATTAACACCAGCAAACATCTCTGCATGAAAAATGTTGTGGTATAATCATGTTTTCTTTAATGTCACAAATTTGCTTAATACATGCAAACGGTTTATCAATATTGGAAGAGTAAATATAGCTGGGTAGTGCTGCTGTGCGGCAGACTAATTTAAGGCTAATTTAAGGTGGTTTCAACCTATGTTCAAACTAAAAAGTTATACAAATTTATAACTTTTTCGGTTGCAACAAAAAATGTTATGGAGAATGTAACATTTTCGGTTCAACCTAAAAGTTATATGAATTTATAACATTTTTGGCTGCAACTGAAAATATTATGGAGAAGATAACATTTTCGGTTCAGCTTAAAATGTTACCTTGTTCAACCTAAAAAGTTAGGCTCTTGATAACATTTTCAGTTGTAAATCGATTTATACCATTTTTTACCCTTACATTAAAAAGTTTTATTAGACTCAAAATATAGATTTATCCTATAAGTTTAAATTATTCTACCAAAAAATGGGGAACAAAAGCGATATGCTAACTCACACAACTGCATCGTGACTAAAATTTTGTAAATAACTAATCAGAGGTAGTAACTAACAAACTGATACAAAGAGCTGGTTTCTTTAGCTGAAAGGATTGTCATTTTGTTTTATATATCCAGTTAAATTTTCTTGAGCAGCAAAAAAGTTGTTCACACTATTCAACACTTGTAAGCTTAATGGCAATAAGTGCTATTACCTTCCGAATAATTCCCATAAATTACTCCAATAAACCATAACATCAACAGATTTAAAGCAGAAAATTTAGTTTTGTTGAGAGCAAGGGAAAATGATTTGGATATATTTATACTTACTGTTGATGAATTTGCTCTCTGGTTCTTGGATGCCTTTTTAAGATGTGAAGTAGCTTGAACAGTTGCAGAATGGGAATTCTCAATGTTAGAACCAATGTCATCTGCCAGGAAAAAAATTACAACAGCTAGGAAAATTAGCAGGCAAAGATTGGAGGATCTTGAGCAAGAAAGAGAAATATCCCAACAGACAGTATATTAAGGACACAAGTTTTACCAATCATGGCTCCTTGCTCATGGACCAAAATTGCTAGATCTTTGAAAATCTCATTCACTTCACTGATCTGTTGCTGAACTTCTTTGATCCCGTTATCTCGTTCTTCAATAATAGCTTCATTAAATGTGATTTCATTTTCCAACAGTACTTGTCTGTTAACAGGAGAAAAAAAAAGTTACAAGAATTTCCAGGAAAATGAAATACAAACGTTGATAGATATCCTTTTACCATTATAGAAACTCAAAAAAGTTAATTGATGAAAAATTGAAGGGGAAAGAGACAAGAAAACAAAATAGCTTTGCCCCTTTAAATGCTTGATACAACATTCAAGTATAACATATTGCATGAATAAAAAATAATACATTTGAAGCCAGGCTTCCATCATTTAAAGCCTCCAAGAAGGCTACTGGAGCAATCCAGTGCAATTGGTTTGGCCCAAGTTGCTCAAGAAACCATGAATGTGAGTCTCGTATTATAGCAACTTTCATAAACATAAAAAAGGCCAATCGGTTCAGGAAATGACAGTTTAGCTTCTAGAATAGACAATAACAGAAGTAGATATATATCTAAACGATTACGGAATTAGAACCCATCAAATAGGATTTCTTGAGAACTAACACCATTGTTCACAGAGTCAAGCTGAAGAGCTTCTCAATGGGTCAAAGCCTCTATAATATAAATGGAGGACAAAAGAAGCCGAAAATAATAAGGTGGTATGATCGCAATACTCAAGTTTCTCAACTGCACCATGGAAAACCTTCAGGAAAATATAGAAAACAATTGCAAAAAGGTAACAGCATCATAAAGTAGGTTATAGCATCGACATAGTAGGTAAATGAAAAACAGGTCGCCTTTTTGAAACCAGAAGCTGTTGCTGCTCTAGACTCTTTGATGATTTTTTCTCCACCGCATGAGCATCAAAACTGCATATGTTCAAAAAAAGAGGTAACACAACAGTCTTGTAGAAATGATAACAGCTCAGCAGTAATTAAATTACAGAGAGAATGATCGACCTTATAACATCTAAAAGTAGCTCAAAGAAGCTTGCAGTATTCCAGAAGTAATATCAACAACTCTAGCAAGCCACACTATATCACATTCCAGTTTCATCTGTTATGTTCTTCAACAGAAATTGCTGGTCTAAAAAAGGTTACTAGAAATGATTCTAAGTCATTTTGGAATACTCTTCAAAGTAATATGCTTGAACCTTCTGAAGTCCAGATTTGATCTCTCTATTTTCACATTTTATCGCTACTATATGTGTTCAAACTTCAAATGCAATTTGAAAACCCCTAAAATGGTCGACTAACTTTTCACTCCATAAGAGAAGATGCGATTATTGTAACCAGGGCACAACCAATCGGCAGTCACATTGAACATGCACATATGCATGTGTACATCAAGTATTACAGATTCAGAAATGTATGAGTTTCTTTACAAGCTATAGGAAATGTGCATTTATGCAGCTGTATGCACATAAGAGCAATTTCAGTGGTAGTACCTAGAAGAAAGGTCTCCCTTGGGAACAGAAGGTGTATATGCTGTTTCCCTCTCAGCCGCAAGCCTTTGAGCCTTCTGAAAATCTTTAAGAGCAGCTTGAAAATCTTTCGCAAGCTTAGCATCAGCAATTTTCTTTAAGGGCTGCAGTTCAACAAAAAAATTCAGGTAAGATATGTAAGCCACCACCTTCATCCTAAACAAGCAATAAAATGACATGAAACAAATAGAGTAACTTTTTTTTCTCCAAAAACCAAACTAGTAAAAAGATGAGTGGATAAAAGCACAGGCAGAAAACGAAGAGGAAATCAACAAGTAAACCCTTGTCATCAAGGGTGAAATGAAGTGCTCTTGAGAAGCTTAACACACAATAGAAGTGTCTTAGAACCCCTAGGAAAAACTGGATTTCATCCTCATACCATAATTTTTTTCACTAACTTATTTAAACAAAAAGAAGATTAAGTTTCACTAACTTCTGCATCTTGATCAGCTTCACTTGCTTCCCTTAGTTTAGCTGAAGTCTCTTTGACCAGCTGCCCAATATGTAGCCTTGTCTTATGCCTGCCAGTGAGAAAACATCCAGATGTAAGTAGCAATGAATAGCAATATCATTGGTCGCATAAATCCCATCTCTTCTATTCAAAGATCCATTGAATTATTTGTTAGTTGCATAATGCTAAAAAATCACTCTATTAGATAACAGAAGTTCTAAAATCCAGAAAGGATATCCAAATTTATGTTCTCTAATTCAGTCTTGAAATAAGCTTAAAATAAAACCAAGAGGCAAATACATTTTTGCTCCATACTTGTATGGTCAATTTTATGCTTATATGGCAAACAAAGCACTAAGAAAAGTAAATCAAGTATAACTCTCCCAAATAATAAAAATAGAAAGCCCATCTACAATTTACCATAAAAAAAGGGAAAATTGTAAGATTAAATTAATGGGTAATGAAATGAATAGATGTTCAAGAAATCCAGAAAGAAGGTCCAAACTTATATTATTTTGACTCAATTTTGAAAACTAAGCTCCAATTATAATCAAAAGTAAAATACATTCAGAACCCAAAATTTATAAGGTCAGATTTATGATTTATACATCCTAAAAGAATACACCTTAAAAATTAAATCAATTTAAATTTTCCAAATGAAAATAACTTACAACTTGTCGCGTAATTCAACGGTGTCCTTAGGGGTACCGAGGAAATTAACGAGGCGATCAAAGGCCAAAATGGCAGTTCTGATTTTGAAAATCCCAGCCGCCAGCGAGTGCGAAGGCGAAGCATCTCGTGTATCTCGCTGAGGAGAATTTAAGTAATTGTGTGGTTGTGGCCTAACAAGACCCGCTTCAAGATCCTGGAAACTCATCTGTTTTTCTTTCCCCCCCCCCCCCCCTTAATTTGGAAGGGAAATGTGCCCTGTGTTGAAGGAGAAGGAACCCAAAAGCCAAAATGAAGCAAATAAATTAAAAAGAAACAAAACAAAACTTGTTTGCCGTAGCATTTCTTCTTGTTAAAGTCAAACTAAGACACCCTGGACGCTTCCGCCAATTTCAATTTGGTATCCGTTTTGGAGTTTCTAAAAATTAAATAAAATATAAAGGTAAACTACAAGGATCATCACTATACTTTGCTCTATTTCCTATTTCACTTATTGTACTTTAAAACTGATCAATTTTATCATTGAATTTAATATAATTGACAAATTTGGTCACTCAGTCATTTCCCCCACAAACGGCGTTATGACGTGGTCTGGTAAAACTCGTCAGTGAGTGTCACTACCTATGGCATCGGAAGTGTCTTTTTACTCTGGTAAAACCCCTATCGACCCCGCTTAGTGAAGTGTCGCCATTCGCCGTCGAGGACTAATCGAAGTATTATCAAAAGCCCATAACGACGCCGCTGTTGATTTTTGTGATTTTCGGCCGATTCTGTCGCCGTTACACCTCACTTCCTTCACCAATGAGTTCCTTGTCCAGTTCCGACCGAAACCCAGGTGGTAGTGTCCCTTCACCATCGCTCTATCATCGTGCGTCTTACCTCCATCGTGGGTAAGTTTTCAGTTAGCTATGGTGTAGACAGTGATTTTTCGTTCCACCATATTATTATTATTATTATTATTATTATTATTATTATTATTATTATTATTATTATTATTATTATTATTATTATTATTATTATTATTATTTAATTATTATTAATTATATTATAAGCCCAAATTATAGCCCATACCCGATTACAACTTTGAACTGGCCTAATCGATTCAGCCCAGACCTGATAGAAACCCTAAACACATTAGGGTTTCTGGTAACTTTTCCCCAGCCACAGCCTTCAGATCCACCTCCCGATCTCTGCAAGTGTGATCCACGCGTCCACCGCCCTTGTCTCTTCAGTCGCAGTGGTGTCAGATTCCATCCAAAGCCATATCATAAAATGATGGTCGGTTAAAAGCAAGTTAGGGGTGGTGGACAAGACTACACTCATCTTCAACACGCCAAAAGCCCCATAAAACACAACAACAACAAAAAAATAGGGGATGGGAATAGAAAAAATCAGGAAAAAAAACGCACAAAGCAGCAAGGATATTCGAAGAGAAAAATAAGAAAAAATAAAGAGGGAGGGAAATAGAGAAGCTTACCACCCGAGGTCACACATTTCACTGCCGAAGAAAGAAGAAATCACTGAAAACCGAAGGTAACCCCTTCGTTTTTCTTAGATCTAGGATGATCAACTTTGTTTTAGGTGGTTTGGGCTGTGTTTTGGGTTAAGGGAAGGCTAGGGGTCGATTTGGGGAAATTTTTAGGTCGGCGGCCACCGTCGACTCCGGTAAGCGGTGGTCGGAGACCGCTGGCCTCCTTATGGCGAGGGATTTTAGAGAGATTTATCTCTTTCTAGAGAAAGAGAGACAAAAAAAGAAAATGAGGGATTAGGGCCCTTAGGACCGATTTTTTGGCATAAATACCCCTCCCCATGTGATGTCATTTTGGGGAAGGGGTTTCTATATATTCAACGAATGGTTAAATCATCCTCGAAGTCCCTGTAGTTTGTAATTTTACATTTTGGTCACTAAAATTAAGTTTTACGCATTATGGTTAAATCTCTTTCGTTTTTATTTAATGAAGATGTGGTCATTATGGGTTAACTATAGTTAACAATTAACAAATTAGGTGATGTGGTATTTTGGTATAATCACACATTTGTTCTATTTTATTTACATATTCTCTCATTTTAGTACTACTTTTAATAAATTAAAATAAATTTAATCATCCAATCGAAAGATGCCACGTGTCACTGGTGCCCCATGTCACCCTCTTGTTGAAAGAAAAAAAAAGCAAAACAAATTGGGGCTAAAGAGATTCAAATCTGGGTCTCTTGGGAAATCAAGCATATACCTAACTATTGAACCAAGACCAATGCTTAGTCAAAAATAGACAACATGGTATATATATTTTGTACCTTAATGAATAAATACTTAACTTAAATTCATAATATTATATATATATATATATTAACTTTGAGAAATATTTTTATATTACCTTATTAAATATATTTTATTATTAACTTAGTTTAAAAATAGACACGTGGTTGCACATAACATCACATGATTGGAGGATTAAATTTATTTTAATTTATTAAAAGTAGAACTAAATTGAGAGAATATGTAAATAACATGAACCAAATGTGTGATTATACCAAAATATTTAACGGTAATTAACTTGTGTGATCACTTTTTTAATTAAATAAAAGTGAAAGTTACCATATATTATGTTTTTTGAAATTAGTGAGGAAAAATAGACAAAACACAAACATAAGTGATCAATCATGTAGTAAACCTAAATAAAATAAATTTTAAAAAATATTGTAATTGATATAAATTAAATTAATATAATTATTTTTAATATATTTTTAATTTAAATTTAAATTAATTAATTTGTAAATTAAATATTAATAGTTATATAAACAAATTGATTTTTATTATCTAATTTTACCAAACTGTACAATTGTGTACTTTCCAATTTAACAAAAATTATAAACGTTTTAGAAATGATTTTTAATTATCTTTTTATGGGTTTTTTTTGTGGGGTGGGGGAATAATGTTCCCGCTAAAAATATATTTAAGAAAGTATAGTGTATAAGAGTAATTCTAAGATCTATGATACAATAGGGGTTTTTTGGGCCAATATGGTAGGCGACCAAATTATTTGGCTCAATAGGACAGTTCAGATTTTATTTTGGGATCTACAACATTTTTTATAGTGCAGGGCGAATTCGTCACGTTGAGGTAACGAGTTCCACTAAAAATATTTTTTCAAATTATTAATATGAATTTAATTTTGAAAAAAAAAATAAACTTGTCACCTCATCTTGGTTTAAAATATACAATCGTTTAGATTTGAAAAATAGCCTTTGGAACTCGTCACGTCGAGGGGGCTAGTTTCAACGTTCATTTTCACAAATTTTAACTACAAATAGGAGTTAGGTTAGTTGATAGAGTTATAGGAGAACCAAAACATGCATTTTTGGGAAGAATATTTCAGACAATTTTTGAGATATCATTGTGGGTCTGATTACTCTGATATTGATGATTCAGATTCAAGCTCGTCTTCAGATGAGAAGTTGATGAAAGAATAAAAAAAATTCTATTATTGATCAACACAAGGAGTTGAAAAGGGAGGAGAAGGAGAAGAAGAAGAATGAAGAGTTAGGATGTTGACGCAGCAAACGACTCATCGAAAGGAATGAGAATACGAGAAATAATAATGTAAAAATTGAAAGGAAGAAGAAGAGGAAAAGTTGTTTATTTTGTTGAAAAATGTTTTAAGTGAACATATGAATTTGAGTTTAGTTAAACATTATAGTTTGAAATGATATATGAAACGTAAAAAATGGAAAAATTATCATTGATATTGATAGATTTACAACATGGGAATACAATTACAAAAGATTTATCGGCCCGCTCGATATCTTTGGAGATGTGGACAGTTCTTCCTGTTGTGGCCTTCACCTCTGCAGTGGCCATAAAGCTTTACCAGACCCTGCTCTCTTTGAGGTTCATCAATATTAGTATGAATTTGACTAGATTTAGGATGACCCCTCAACTTCCTTCGTAATTATGGATTGGGCAACCATTCTTCAAAAACAATAGGTGGCCAATATGCACCGTTTAAGAGATACTTAAACTCGATATTGTGTATATTGTGCAAAGTATGCATGCTATAACAATCATCAGCATAAATGTATGGGTCTACATTCACATGCAACAATCGCGTGAGCGTATGGGTATTTGAAGGCTTGAAATCGACCACAATCACACCATCTTCTATTCAAATTACCAGTGTAGGTGGCAGAAGTTCCACTCTCAAGTGGTCAAACAAGTGCTTAGACAATATAATCAGATTCCAGACTAGCAAAATTATGAACATGTATTGATGTTGCATGAGTTTGATTTTTTTCATTCTATAGCCCAATTTCTACCTTCGTTGAGCATTGCCTATACTTGGGCACCTTTGTCTGCCCATATTTTACCCAATTTAAAGAAAGTCTCCTGAAAATACCATCAGAAGATGTCTAGTCCCTTTTAGAACTAAATTGATACATTCAGAAAGATTGATTGTCATATGACCATAACGTTGACCTTGATTGTCATATGCATGTGACCATTTTTCTGAATGTATCTCAGATGCAAATTTATAAACCTCTTCTCCATACTTCCTCAAATTTTTCAGTCTTGTACTGAATCTCAGTTGTAGTAAGGTATAGCCTGAAAAAATAGTTAGGTTTAGGTATAATTATAAACAAATACCAAAAAGGAAGGGGGAAAATTATTAAGTTACCCATGTTGATAATTTCTTTCTTGACTTCTTATTCTTGAACCTTGTCATAACATTTGAAGCAATATGAAGTATGCAATACATAGGAAATGTATGCGGAGGCAACCACCTACTTATCGGTCTGTCAATCATGGCCAGCAACCCAGGTGAATAGCCTAAGATCATACAAACCACATCTTGAGTGACATGGGCACACAAGTTTGACATAAAAAATTTCACGTTTCCTCAAACTCATTTTTAACAATGGCAAAGGCAATGGGGAAGATGTTTTTGTCACCATCTTGTGCAACAACTATCATAAGGACGTGTTTGTATATGTCGTACAAAAAAGTTTCATCCACTTGAACCATTTGTTTGCAATAACGAAAACCTTCAATTGGTGATTTGAAAGCCCATAACAAGCCTCCGAAAACTCTCTTCCCTGGGATAGATTTTCCATCAAATGTGGTCGTAGGATAAGTATAAGAGCGAAAAATGGTTCCTAGGATGATATATTTCATTGCGTGCAACAAATGTAAAAGCTCATTGTACGATTGATCCCAATCACCGTATAATAGTGTCATA